GTAATTAAACTGAATGCAAAGTTATTTTGGTGGCGGCACGGGCGCTATTTTGTGCTACTTTGAAGATGCCATTTGATTAATTCACACACAAAACAAGTGAACGATTGAGATACACTTAAAGAAAAAATAAACCGCTTACTTTAGATTCAACGAACGTCCGCGAACCGGCTGAGTAGCGGCGACCTTTATCGAAGAACATGCCATTGTGAGCTTTTTTGACGGCGTCGTCCACTAAAAATCACTTATAACTCGAAACTCAAAATTGTCACTCACTCACTCCAACTGGGGCCTTATAAGTGCAATAGTGGCAAACGTTTTGGTTTGCATGGGCTTGTTGGAGATCTGTTCAATTTTACAGTAATTGAGTTTATTTTTCAATATTGAAAGCGCCTGGCTATGAAAGAATTGTTGACTCTCGGCTAATTTCATAGCCGTTCCTGTTGTCGAGGTCAATGGTATCGTGCTCCTACCAGCGCTAGTGCTCAGCAATGTGTGGGTGGCAAATGTCGAGGAGATAGGCTGAAGCTACTCCTCACAGAACAAATACGATTAGGACATACGAACATACCAGCCGACACAAATACCAACAAACAATCTATTCAAAAGTTATTCTCCCCATTAAACTAGTTTTCAAACTTTCCAATATTTTTTGTTTGCACCACTGATTCCTAAAAAAATTCTCGTCGCTTGCCTTTTCTAATAATAATTCCTCTAACAAGTGTGCTTGCTTGGTCAATGAAGTTTCAAACATGACAATACTTACAGTTCGAATCAGCAAAAACAATAGTCGGACTTCGGTTGTTGACTTCTAATGGGACACCTGAAAAGAATTGGAGGTTAAACCTTCAAACGAAACCCAAAAGTGGCCCTCATTGTGTGGATGCGAATAATTCGAAAAACTTAAATTTGAAGGGTATCACAGTTACCGCAAAAGACTGAAAACATACGTTTTGTCGGAAAAATGAGCGGCATCTTCGATAGCCTTTTGTAAGATCTTGATGGAAGCCATGCCATTAATGCCCTTGTGGGTGACAAGAGCTCGACCTGCTTTCGCGCGGTAGCCTACAACAACATTGACTACACCGTCAGGGAATCCAGCCTGAAATCTAGTTTTGAGAACCAAAAACTAATCTGCAAATTGGATACCCTTCGAGTGCGGAGGGTTGTGAACGTACTACACGAAAATTTAGTCATCATCATTAGCAAGGGGACCTCCACCTCACGTATGAGACTTGCCACTGTGCAGCCAGACATGGCTTTCGCTCTGCAACTTCATCACTATTGTGTTACCCATCACCAGTGCTGGAGCAAACATCCAGGTTAACGTGAGCAATGGTGAAATCCACTAAACAAAAAACATAATTTCGCATACAACCCCTGAATTACAATTTACTGAGAGGTCGTTCTTAAAGTGAGGTGACATGATAAATTGCGCTTGGGCAAAGAGCAAAGCGCGTAAAGAAATTATACATGACCCCATAAGGCCGGTGTCAGACTTTGCGAATCGAGGGCACAGTCCTGACCCTCAAAAGCAAAGTCGTGGCTCTTCTGCGGACGACGGACTAGTAGTGGCCTGACAACACATTCCCAGTTCCTTTCAACGCTCCTCCTTTTGCCCGCCCATCGCCTCTCGCCGTCGGACTCGCGTGGACAGGCTGGCCATAGCGTTAACGTTGATAACGTAAAACCAATGTGACTCTCCCAGAAGCAGGAATTCAACGGGAACAGAAGAATGGCCTTACTATTACTCCCTCAGATTTTCATCATTTGTAGTCTTTACCAGCGCTAACTTCGCATCGTCGACCAACTTTTCGAGTGCCATTCGCCTCTGAGGAAATGTGATGACACAGCCAGGATTTGGTGTAGATAAACTTAGTCGGGAAGCAAATTTAACAAAAACCTGGTTGCCCAGCTTCATAGAGCCAAAGTCTCGCGTGGCGCGATCAAATGAATTGGTATATGGAACGAAGCTTATAATGCTCACCGGAATTATTTCACCGCATACTTCAGATGCCGTCGGCGTGTCTCCCATCTTACGTGCATAGTTGGCATAATGTCTAAACACACGTTAAAAAGTATGCAGTAAAACTTCACAGCTCTTTCTGTCCACAATTCATAACTCTGCCCTCGCTAAGCCCCGCCCACAATGGGAGGGGCTTTCGTTCAAGTGATTGATGCTTACTACAAAAGTTGACAGCTCTGCTCCAGAACATCATGGCGTTCGAAAAATTGCGTAGAGATCAGCGAACAGAGAGTCAAATGTTCATGGCACGCAAAGATTCCTAACGAATTTTCGAGAAAACAGAGGCCGGAAAATAAGCGGACGGAGACCAACGAGGGAGTAGAGGTCGTGAAATGTTCATAATGAGCCCCGCGGTTGCTTGGATGGGCTGTTCCAAAATCAAAATAACGGTTACTCGCCCCATATCGCTGAAGCCGCCTAGGAGCTCGCCCTAGTGAAGCCGTCGCCGACTGGTGAGGATAGAGCATTCGCTATCGACCTAACCCTTTTCAATGCGCCATTAAGCCTACTTCGCTCGATCTCCGAAACTCCGAATTCGCTTTAGAACCCAAGACTATGAGTCAATCGGGTGTACAGGTGTAGTCATCAAACTGGAAGCTATCGCTATCCAAATGAGATTCGACCACAAAATTCAGCCGCTGGCGTGCCGTGGACAATGCCTTCATTTGCCATTATCTGCGCCACCGCCCGTCACCCGGCCGCTATAGTTACTGATGAATAGGAACCTCACAACCGCTTCAAACATATCCCACTTCAAGTAGAAACACAACACAATGCACCTAATTAAATGCCAGGACTGATTTACCTGAGCACTCATCGATAACTTCACATAAAACTTCATAAGCTGTTGTAAAACAGTTTTCCGTTTCCAAGTGACCAAGCGACTGGGAATAATATATAGTAAACAAAAAGTAACAAACGCTTCCATTAATCGACATATGTGTAGTTAGATACTACTCACAGCAAGAATATTTCTGTCTCTCGCAACAAGATCTGCCCCCTTTGTGTAAAAGTTGGGCTCGCTGCTCCCCGTCCATGCGGCGCCACGGTGAACCCCTGGAAGCAGAAGCCGCATTTGCTGCCTGTAAATGGGAAAAAGTATAAGTAGGAATTCAAAATGCAATATTTATACGCAATAATGCGCCTCCTATGAATTTTTGCAAACAATGCATCTCTGATCCAGCCAGTAACTTTCGATGATAGCATTTCGAATAGAGGGCGCACGTTTTCGAGCGTAAGGACTGACAACTCAGCCCTTTCCCGCAGGCTTAATTATCCAAGATTGTCTTAAGCACTTAAAGTTTTTCTATGCACGATCGACTAAAAAGTGCTCTCATCACAAACAGCTCCCCTCCTCACAACGAACCGTGCTCTCCTACCCTAATCTCTGTGTCTTCTCCCCAACCCATCCCTCTTTTCCCATCTCCACTTCACCACCGTGTGACAGTCAAGGTGCAGACGGACGCAATACGCAATTGTTTCGAGAATTCCACTGGCCCACTTGAGACATCTACCAAAATTTGAGACCACTGACCAACCTGAACCGCCTTGTCGACGTCCTTCCAGTCGGCTTCTTCGACTTCAGTAATCAGTCTACCATTGGCTGGATTGAATGATCCTATTGTACTACTAGACGATGAATCTTGCCATTCATTATTAATGAATAGCTAAAATAAATACGGCTTATTTCTGAACAAAGAACAATTCCGCTTTTACCTTCGTGAACTTCGGCTCAATGTTTCGTAGAGGCTGTGGGCCTGATGTCGTTGATATTAGCTGCACCGCTCTCGCAACTGCAGCACGTAGCATTCAACAGTTCTGAAATGTCCTACACGAAAATTAGTTATTCACTTTCTCTTGAATCGCGCCGGCAAAACGATTGAAAGAACTTTGAGATGTGGGCGGGGCTACGCAGGATATGTCTTGGATGACAAGTTACTGATGGAGGGAGGGAGCTGCAGTAAGGCACATCCCGAATCGTCTCTACATCACACGCCGGTCGTGAATACCTCTGAATTCATTTTGGATAACCCCCAGGACCTGTCGCGCGGCCAAGAAGGCAAAGTCAGCGGACGAGTCGCGCGCGTACTATAGGGATTTCTGTCAAGTTAAATAGTGCGTCATTGCACGTCCTACATCGCACACGACGCGCAACTAAGTTCCGCGGACTCTGCCTTCTTTCCGCGCGACGGGCCTCCTGGGGGGTACCCATCATTCTTGACTAAACTCTATCACGGAAATTCAAGTCAATTCGTCCTTTTAAATCAAATTCAATTACACAAAGATATATTGAAATACTTCAAATGTTTCTGGAAAAAATCGCCGCGCACCACAGCATTTTCCTCAGTGTATGTTTGCACATGAACTTTGTAGGCCATTAATATGAGCGGCTGCAAAGCTATACAACTGTCTGCCAACTATTTATGGCATACTTCATCTCCCTAGCATTAATACCACGCAATCGCAGTCTCCTGTTTTTGTTTGACATCGCCAGCTGGACCTATAAAACCGGTGTCAGACTTGGCGAATCCAGCGAATCGCGCGGTACGAATCGCGAGAGCTTGAACGACGTTAGAGCAACTCGACAGTGCGGGGAAGTAGCGGGAATCACTTTCATGCATGACTCTCACACTCTCCCGGGCTCACGAAGACACGAGAGCATGGGGAAAAGTGGGTGAGGTTCAACGTGCGCATAAGATCGACCACTTTCTCTTTCAACCACTCTCGCGAACTTCCCACTGTCGAGTCGCTGATACCACGTTCAAACCATGGGTACATTGTTCGAACCGCTGGCGCATCACTCACCCCTCCCCCCCCCCCCATGCTCCTCCCATAGATTAGCGCTAGATTCGCAAAATCTGACACCGACCTGAGACATCTTCTGCCGTGCCCTGATTCAGTGAGCCTTTTTATGATCCAGCTTTTAGCTTCAGAAACACCCGTGGTAGCTTGCCTTGGGCTGTGCCTTCCTTATCGAGCGATCCAGCTACCTCCATGGATTTGTTCGATTTGAAAGAAAAGTGGAACCCTCGTACCTATCTCCCAAAGCTCCGCCCATTAAACGTACATCAAAAAAGAAGGGATCACGTCATTTGACTGATAGTCACCACGTGCTTAGAGGCGCTAGATTAATTACAGAAAGTAGACGACAGGAATTCCAACAGGAAAACGTGCGAACAGGCAAAAAAGTAGGACACTGATGAATTCATGTCGGTGTCAACAAGCGACAACTCATCAAGACACCCGGGTTCCTTGCACCATTCTCTAGACTGCCTGCACAAGCTGAAACCCCGTCTTCGTCTCGATTTGTAAACTGAATGAACTCCATCTCATTTCGCACAGGACATTACAAAGCAGTATTAACATCAGGTCAGCACAACGAATAGCGATCGTTTGAGTGAAGTGAACACGACGACCAGACCTTCCTTACGATCCGTTGAATATCTAGTGATGGAACGTTGGCAGCAACAACCTTAATGGAAAGGTGTGTCCAAGACCCATTTTTGTCAGACAGTAGAGAAAGAATAGTGTTAACCCGGAGGTATCAGATGTCGCGTCGCTCTGCGAAAGCGCTTCTTCAACGGCGCTTGGGGCGTAAAAAAGTTGTTGCTGATTGGCGACTAATGGGAACTTTATGGAAGAGAAGCAGTCATCCTACCACGTTCAATGTATCGACGGCTACCCCACCTTTCAATCTGGGGTTGTTACTGATTTGAAGGGATCTCACCACACCCATCGCCCAGTGCAAGTAGGGGTCAGGTTCCAACCAATTGAAGTTCGATGACATCAGCTCAAACCGTACCGCCCTCCACATCGCTGATTTGCTTACATGCCCATCGGATTGAAAATAGAATGTGAATAAAAGAGACTATAAAAAAGACAGAATAAATAAATAAATATAGACCAAAATTGAACGATACAGAAAAGCTATGGTAAGTTTCAAAAGGCCGGCTACCTGCATAAATGAATAGATTCTGCGTGCTACTTCACAGTGAATGTTAACCACACCACCAACGCCCACATCATAAAGCAAGGCTGAGAGATTCACAGACAGAGGCAGACAGCAAAGAACGAGGAACACTTCAATGGGGCACAAAGATTACATTGATTTTTTGCTAAAGCTGAACTCCAGAGCAAGGCGCAGACTTTGTACATTGGCACGGATTTCACATGCACATCACCAACATCCTTATCTTCATCTGAGCGCTGCTGAAGGTCTGAATGATAGACAACACGTGGCAACCGTCTGGTGGTACGATCCCTGCACATATCCAGGAAAAACCAACAGAAAGACAAATATCAAAAGCATACAAAAAAAACTGGGCGAATGTCCTCGCAAGAACTAGGAATCAGCAGGTATAACCCCAAAGGTAACAGTACTACTCGGAGGTCTCAAATTTCGTACGATCTTGCAGCATGAAATATAGGAAGCCGCCCCATGCAGACAAATCGGAATGTGGATCGGCACATGTCAAAGCTTCTGGTACGTGATCGGGTGGTGGTTTTTAAAGGTGACGTCGTTATCATCACGCTGAATCTCAAAATCTTGCTGTTGATTCAGAACGGTCGCGAAGCAGCGATGACGTAAGAGCTTCCGATCGGAAGTGCTGAATCGTCTCTCTCAAGCCTCTGAGACCAATGAGAACACACAAGAACCCTGCGGTCATCGGATGCGACATTTGACTTTTCCAGTTTTCGATATAGAGGATACTGAAAATGAACTTAAAGGCACAACCCTTGATGATTTCAGGTGGATAAACATTCAGTGGGTAAGTTGCCCACGAAAATTGCAAATGTGCCATTTTCGCGGTTCCAACTCGCGCGATAAAGGTGCTATGATCTTATCATTGCGTTGAAGTGTGCTGAAGCAAGGCTTGCGCTCATGACAATCGCTACAACAACATCAGCAGGGTGGTGATGAAGCTAATTGCCGCGCTTCACTGTTTTTATGATAACTGGGCAATTTCTCTTCAACATACAATTATTCAAAACAATCCATTAGAAATAATTACCCAGACCGCTGGCACCAAACCAGCTGCCGCCCCAAAGAACTCGTCCAAATGCCCTTCCCTCATTCATACTCCATAACGTTTGTCAAAAAAAGTGCAGCGACCTATCTTTTGGCATTCAGAGAGCCCCTCAGGAAAAATCAACCGTAGTTCCTGTATTCAATGGATGTGCCTACGCATCATGCAAAGAACCGTTTTTGAAAAGCAAGGCAAGGCCTGAAGTATCCCCTCCCCCGATAGAAGCACCAAGAATATATGTATGTAATAAGTCAAGCCAATCCAATAGGCAGTGTGGCGTTGAAGGAAGTGCTATAAGGCATTGAAAATCCTCTTTCTAAGCCTGAACCTCTTACAAAAAATCTCAAAGCGATCAATATGAGATTGTCGTCGAGTGAGCCGCAGCGAATCACTAAACGACTGTCAAATTTGTAATCTTGAGAAGCGTTTGGTCATCAAAGAAACTGTAAACTGGACAAAGTAAACATCGGAAGTGTCCGGTTCTTGATAGACATAGTTATCGGAATTCAGCAATCCAAATTTTAATATGAAATGAATACCGATTCGCCTATTCAACAACCAGCGCCCACGCGCTTGTGTGATGAAAGCAGTCGTTCAAATCTGAATCACAAGGGCAGAGTTAGAGAGTAGAATGTAAAAAAGCTTGAACGTCACATCGACGATCGTAATCTGATTACCAGTCCCATCATACGCCCACAAAATTCGTACAGAGTACAAATCGCACAGCGAATAAGGAGTTAATGCTCCGCGGCATGAATACATTCTTATCTAGCATCCTGGTCTTAACAGATTCGGTGAGCGAACAGGTAAGGAATCGGGGATCACGTATTAGTCACAGCATCCACATATACGGGAAAAGTGATTAGGTCGATGTCATAGTTTGCGAATCGAGCGATTCGCTAGCGAATCGCTGAATCCGAGCGTTGCGCCAGCGAATCGAACGTTGCACCAGCGAATCGAACTTTGTGCCAGCGAGTCGAACGATGTACCAGCGAGTCGAACTAGGTACCAGCGACTCAATAGTGCTGGACCCGTAACGTTAAAGGAATTCCCGCACTGCTAAACAGCGTTGCAACTGTCAGTGAAGAGATAGGTTACGTGAACACGATAGGCAGACGAAATCCGAGCTATCCACAGTATAGGGCACAGGGCAATCTACTCGAGCTTAATGCCTAGCAAGGTGGGGCAAGGAGGCTCGCGGAAAATGAAATCGCTCGATACACTAAATAGCTCACACACCTTGGAGTCTCTCCTCTCCTACCTAAGACTTAGTCCCCCTTCTAACAAAAAAGCCATATTTTATGGTTTTTTTTGCATTGTAATGGCAATGCCCCGTATATTACGATAGCGCCCGACATTCCTATTCTCAACTTCAGGTTAGTTCACCTTCAAAAAACACGTTTATTTATGAAGTGCACTTTACCTCATCGGGAAATCCACAATAAATGGTTGCGAGTGCAAATCGGTACAGTTATAAGCCAAGTTATACCCCATTCCCTTCTACCTCGACAAATGAAGCACATAGAGTGGGTCACCCAAAATATCGCATCAGAACCCTCAAAGCAAACATGTTCACGTTTAACCTCGTTGACATCCCTGGTTGCAAGGTTGGCTAGGGGATCGCATCGAGGTCAAGCGTAAACGTGTGAGCTTGCAGCTTCTGAGCTTCCCTTTCAGAGAACTATTCTATGTGCTTCATTTGCCAAGCAAAAATGGAGGAGTGAATCATGAATACTGAATGCTGATAACTACGACCGCATCCCCTTACACCCCCGCCCTCAA